AATATAAGGATTGTTGTAAGAGGCACAGTTTTCAGGATAAGATTATACAGTTAAGAACTTAAAAACCCTTTGTAAACTCAAGTGAATAGATTATTCTCCTTCACTAACTCATGCAAATGCAAAAATGTCACTGATTCTGGAGCTTAATCCAGCAAAATCTATTAAATTAGGCTTAATTTTAAGTCTAAAGATAGTATTTAAAAAGAAATAGAAGTATTTAAAGCACAGTTTTCAGGATAAGATTATACAGTTAAGAACTTAAAAACCCTTTGTAAACTCAAGTGAATAGATTATTCTCCTTCACTAACTCATGCAAATGCAAAAATGTCACTGATTCTGGAGCTTAATCCAGCAAAATCTATTAAATTAGGCTTAATTTTAAGTCTAAAGATAGTATTTAAAAAGAAATAGAAGTATTTAAAAGTTTAAAATGTCACACATGCATAAATGCATTGATTCAAAAGTGTTTTTCATGTTCTTTCTTAAAAGTGGCTGCATTTGGACACTGCAGCAGCAAGTTTCTATTAGCAGAAAACAGACTCCACCACAAGGTAGATTTATCACCTGCTTAGACATCTTTAGATTTAAATACCTGCATAGTGGGAGTTCCAAAAGTTTTTGTTCTGTTGACAGATTGCAGTGTTTAAAAGTTTTACACATGTCCACATACAGCATGTGCCACTGAAGGCAATGAGATTATTTAGTTACTTCTATAAATCACATCAGGAATTCTGCAGTTTCTCTGATTCTTTCCTTGTTGGCTAACAATGTCATTTGAGTTCACTGTGACTCCTTTGTCAAGCACAGTATTGCTTTCCAGCCATATGCAGACACCAAGTGCAATCTGGCAACATTGGCCACTGAGGATCTGAGCTTTGCCACCAAAGCCAGACTGAATATGATAACAACTATGTGGCATTATTTTGTCAGTAAAGAAAAGGACAAGTTTACATGACAGGCCTTTCAACAGGGACTACATTTTACAGGAGCAATGGTGAAGCAACCTCACTATCTGGATGGCACATTGACACAAGCCTGAAGATTTATAAGCAGCTGCATCTCCTGCCTGACAGAGGGGAGTGAGCTACGTGGGCCTGTCCATGTTTGTGGGAATTATCTGATGTACCTAATATACATCACAGAGGGAATATCACCAGGCAATCCCAGTTCTTCCTGAACAGGATTTATTACCCTTTCCCCCACCTCAGAATTAATGCTTTAACAGCTGGTATTGTTTCAAAACATGTTTGTACTAGTCGTGTGTGGCTAGGCCAGGGCTGAACACTGTTTGCTCTGCATTACAGTGATGGAGTGAGTCATCTGCTCAGTGGAGATGTGCCTGGCCAGCAGCTAAGCAACTGCATGTTGTACTCCCAGGTTTAACAAGAATTGATTACTTTTCCGGTGTTGTTCCCTTAGCAACATAATTTGCACAGAGGAAGAGTTTAGGAAGGTACTGACCTTTCCACAGAGCTGGCCACTTATTTGAAATGGCACTAATTAAAACAACAGAACAACGACTACTGAGCTAATGGAAGTGACCCAGGCTGGTAAATAGGTCACTGCTGTGGCCGCCAGCTTTCCACCAGCCGGATAATCTCATCACTCCATCCAGACACAGACTCAGAAGATCTGCCTTCTGCCTTGCCTCACTTTCTAACTTGCTCTTTGATCTGGGATGACTCACTGAGGCATTCATGCTGCAGGAGGGCTCCTATTTTGAGTAGGCATTCTGAGACATCCTCTGCCCTGTTTCTACATACTGATAGGTCCTATTAATTGCACCTGAAAATGCAAATTCCTGGCACTTTTGTAACTCTGAAGTCCTTCAAGATGAGCATCCAAAAATCTGAACTGCATAGAAGCAGAATGATTATCTTTACTCTGGGAGAATGGCTCTAAATCTGTGGGAAAAGATACTACCTGAAAAAAAATATTACAAATTCAATTACTTTGTTCTTATTAGAGAGGTAGAGACAAATGTATCCATCTGACTATTCAATGGAATTGGTAAGGGAAGCCTGAAATGGACCCTTCTTTAGAGATAGATTTTCCAGACTCTTGCAAATTTTCCTGCAAAGGGGTTTTTCTTCTGCATAATCATCTTGCACTCAGGAGGCAGTTTCACATTCTATCCTTATCAAATTGACTGAAACTGAGCTTTTATGTCATTAAACTTCCACAGAAAGACCTGCTTTGCTGTTCTGTTTTCATACAGCATAAAAAGATTGTGTTTATTAAAGGAGAAAAGGGATCATCAAGGTACTTGATATCAATCTTAATGATAGCTAAAAAGTTAGTTTAGTTAATGAGTTCATAGACTATAACTGCTTCAGCTGGAAAGCTTTGTGCTGACAACTGCTTGTGTGAGATACACATACTTCAGGCATTAAAGCAGCACAGTTCTCCTGGGGCTTTTCTGCCTCCTGCAGTAGATGATCCTAGAGTTTGCAAGGCCTTTTTCCATCTGTGAAAAAACTCAGGTCATCTCATCATTCACTTGTGACTATTCTGTGGGAAGAGTGTATCTGACTAATTCCTTGGACAAATCTGCCTTTTAGTTTACATGAGTGCAGGTCCAAGACATGTCAATATCCATTGGATTTCCATCCATGTAGCCTAAAGCAGAGTTTGACCTTTAGTCAGCTCATATGTGTATCATGCATATGTCACATAAACTGCTAAAACTGTGACGAACAAGAGAAACTTCTCCATTTTGGAATTACAGATGGGTCTCAGCCTTGCAAACCTCCTGTTCCTCTCTAACTCCCTGCCTTACATGTCAAAACATGGCATTTTCTTTCTGAATCTTCCTGTTTGACTGATTTGTTGTGATGGGGTGTCTGAAGCCCAATGCCAGCATGAGGAATGACAATTCAGGTGACAAACCCCAGGTCATGGCATCACTTGTAAATGGATTACAGGCAAGATGGTCAGAGTGATTTGAAATTAAAACAGCAGCAGCATCACTTGGCAATCAGGTTAAAAGCACTTCCAAAAGTAAAACACAATTAAATAGATGTGTTTTTCAGTAAACAAAGGCCTGACCAAGTCTCCTTTATTATCCTTATTAAATTCTCTATGTCACAGGCTATTTCTCACATCTATCCCTTCAATATTCTAAAGGCACTTCCTTTGCATTACTCCAGGTCTCCTAGAGCTGCGTGGAGTAGTCCTTTCCTAATCCTTCCCATCCTGTAGCTGCTAACATGGCCTGTGCACACATTTCACATGTTTTTCTAGCATGCCCTTTACAAGCCTGGTGGTTTGGGACTGAAGCAGCACACAGCTGCCTCTACTGCAGGAGTGGGATGGAGCTCAGTTTTGAAAGTTCACTGACACCCTCTTTATCCCACACCTACATAATCATCTCAAATCATAACTTCTGGTCTCAATGCTCAGCTGT